ATTCATATCTCCTTTCATTCATAATCATACTCCAAGCCAAATTTTCCAATGGTACAGTTAGTTTTCTCTAACTTTATTGAAAAGTATTTCAGATAGTCTAAAGTAGGATTAAAAGTAACACAAAAACATTATTTTATTTAGTGATATACTGTATACATGATGTTCCCCGTTACTGTCTCGGCATGCTCTTGATTTGTTTTATTCTTGAATTTTGTTGTCCCTTCTGTACATTTAATAATTACTAGAGGGCCCATGCTACTCTACAACGTTGAAATGAAAATCATATTCGAGCAATAATCAAATTTATAAATTTTATTGAGTATCTTGATCTTAACTGATTCAAACGATAAATAGCTCAAATTAAAACCTTTAATTAACTTACTATTTTGCGTCAAAAACATGAAAAAAACATAAACAATAGTGGACCTATTGATTTTTAATCATAGAAAACCCTTATAAAAAAATAATTTATATGTTGGTTGTTCACATTGCAATTATTGCTTGTAGTCCGTCCGATTTGGATAACTAATTAATAGCTTAAATGAAAGTCGGCATTTCACTGAAGGTTCTTAGACCAAAATAATATGTAGGATTATATAATTATAACTGGTGAAATGCATCTTAAATTGAAGAAAGAATTCGAAAAAGATAAATATATGTTTTTTGGACGAGTAATACAGTAGATCAATATATGCCGATGCTTAGAGTGAAATCTGTGCACACCTTCAATTTGCTACCTCAATCATGAAAATCGGTTAAATTTATTTTTAAATATAAGAAGATTGACTCTATTAACGTTTAACGAAAACTATCACCGTTTTACAACAAATTGTGTAGCAGTTCCGGTTAATGATAACAACCTATACTGAATTGAAGCTTTAGAATAGAAGATTTCAAATGTTTACGGGAGCAAGCTCCTAAAATGTAATAATGTCGGTAGCTATACTTGCGATAGTACACTTGGTAGGTTTTTAACAGTTTTTATTGATTTATGCATTATTATATAATAAATAATGCTATTTAAAAAAATAAAAGATTGGTAATCATATGGTTAAACGTAAGGACACTGACTAGTTTTTAGGTGGCGGAACAAGCAAATTTTCACAGTTTATTTGAATGTAAACCTATTTTACTCGAAATATGTTTGAGATAGAAAAACACTATTGAAATACAAAAGTTGTGGATAATTTAATTCTACTCTACACTACCGATCTTCCATAAGTTTTAAGATCCAAGCATTGTAGCTTATAAGTTACAGACCAAAATATAATATCTTGCATACTCGAATTTCGGAATTTCTTCTTAAATAGATTTAATGCCCTAAACCACCCTTGAATTTAGAACTTTGCAAAACCCCCAACTTTGTATATCTACACCATATGCATGGATTGTCGTCCCAATGCAAAATTTTATTATTCTAGGTCTTATATATGTTTTGAGATACATTATAGTGATCATTTGTCAGTGATATGCCAATCAATATAAAGGTAGGTCAATGGAAAGCATTTATCTACGTGGTGATCGGATGCATAGCAGCTTCAAAACGTATACGTCACAAAATTCGTGTTTGCCTATTAAATATATTGGGTATCTATATTTAATATATAGATACCCAATATGCCTATAAACATTCAAACTTATGGGTCAATTTGCTGCACACAAAATCCAACAAAGTCTTTTAATAATATAGATACTTATAAGGTTAAGGAAACTCCAGAACCACTTGGGTGGAACCCAAAAGTCAGATCAGGATAAAAACTACTTAGTTTTCCTATTTAATGCCTGAAGAATCAGTACACCAAATTTCAACGTTCTAGCTAGTCTGGAAGTTGGATTAGTAATGAATCATTGAGTGAGGGCTTTTACTTTTGAGTGAGGGCTTTTACTTTTATATGTTAAGATTATTAGCTAAATATAACACATATGAAAGGTACAAAATAAAATCCATAAGTTAAATACAGTAGTAGAATAGATAAAAACGGAGCTCCAGACAAAGCTGTCTTTAAAATTTGAAATAGGTGTTGCTGCAGACTTTTAATTTTATTCAGCGAGATTACGCCCCTGAATTTAGTGTTACTCCCTCAATATGACAACACTGTTGGATAAATCTAGCTCAGTGGGATAAACGCAGGGATGCAGCAGGCACTTGTAGAGCGAAATTTCCCACAATTTCCATGTAGACAAAAATGTGTGTTTGACTGGTTTTCAGGTTATGTGACAAAATCCAAAACACAATTGAACATAGGATGCACAATAAATCGGATGTGTTTACTTTTGGGATATTGACTTAATTATTACCTACATCAAACAATTAAATGTATTCTGAACTTGTGTACCCGTTGCGATATAGAGCGTACTATAGCTAGCCGCCATACCCGTGCTTCGCTAAAGGAGCGCTAAAGAGAATAATTTATTGTTATGTTCCATAGATCTGTTGTATGAAAAGTTAAATAACTCATAAAATAAATGCCTAACATTTGCATTTAAAGCATCAATCGAATTATTTTTTAAAACGTGTTTTATATCAACTAGACAGCTAGCTGTTATCCACGGGCTTCACCCCGTTCCGTTTGACTTCATAAGTACATTAATAACACTATTGATTGGATAAGTTAAGTTAACTGATAATCATTTAGCGTTGAACTTGAACTTACTAAACAACATCACAGATGCAATTTACGGACTTGAGAGGCCATCAATTCTGGACCTGCCCTTCAGATTTTTGTAAAGAGTTTTATCGAAAAATTTGTTGTTAACAGCAATTTTAATGTTTAAAAGTTACTTTGTTGTATTGCATTGCATATTTATCATGAAAACATAAAAAGAAATTTACAGATATTTTTAGTTGTACATATTCTTTAAAGACATCAAGAGAGTTATCAAGATCCCTTAGTTCACTGACGATATAAATCTGTTTGTGGAAAGTTGCTTCCCTCAATGATTATGAGTAATTTTGCCTTAGGCTTAATACTTTAATTTGAAATGGCAACCATACAAAGTAGGTATTTTAAGCCAAGTACCAGTATGCATGGAGATGAGTGTAGGATGGATGAGTGGCACGATTTTGTATCCTTGTTAGTGACTAAGGCTGACATATTCCTTAGACACAGCTGTCAATCAATAGCCCATACTTTGGGCTAATGGAAACTATAGGGACCTACAGTTTATACTAGAATCCGAACCACATTTTTCCTTGGTATAAAAAAATTGGTCTAATTATCAGGATAGTACCCGTACTGCGGATAGTCGTAGTAAGGGCGTTAATTCAAACCACGAAGTATCACATCCACAGTACATGCCTATAAATATCCACAACTCGTGACCTCATAGTAGCTGAATTTCAGGATGACACCACCGTCTCAGTCTCTTAATGATGTCTTAGCTAAGACTTGACCAAAGATAATGGTTGATTCCACCAAGAATAAGTTAAAAATTGTTGGCATTAACAAAATTCTCTGGATATTGACTATTTCCCAGATTCTTATTGACTCGCCATGTGCGTTTGGGCTTTGGGCCAGACATTCAGCACATCTGTGCCAAGACCTCTGGCATTCTCAAAATGATCTGCTGTGCAAGACACTGTTTGAGCATCCATGATTTTTGTATCCATACCTGCTATATATCCAGTATAATTTTTATGTGCGGCAACAACTAGGGTCTTCGGTCTTACTGTGTATTCTGGTCGCTTTTACCAGCACAGCCTTTTTCAATGCCTTAAGCCCCCAATACGGGAAGAATGAGCGTACGCCTAGTAAAAATTGTCCTTAAAGTAGTTCTCGTATGTCAAGAAGTTTACAACATAGATTTACATTGTAAGAAAGGGGATTAACCCCGTACCCACGGTGCTCATCTAAGCAGATACTCTGTTTACATTACACTTATAGTCCTCGCCACCCTAAGTTGAGGCAGCCCAAGGCCGCACGGCGTATATCTAGTGCGGCCTTTGGCTGCCTCAACTTAGGGTGGCGAGGACTATAGTCGACCAGTTGGTGTGAAGAGAGTTGAACAGTAACATGAGTATCGATTTACAAATTCCTTTCCCAGCTGACGTGAGCTAGGCGATGACCGGTAGGGCTGACTCCCAAGAAACATCGTTAACCTATAAGTCAAACACCCAATCAGCCAATGAGAAGGGCTAATGAAGAAAATGGAGGGGTGAGGAGTCTCTCAGCTGGAGCTGGAGGACCTGAAGAAACAAATTGAGGAGTTCACCACGGGCCACTGGACCAAGAAGATCGAGAGTTTCGGAGTGTGTGTATCGGTGCGTGTGCTTCTGGGACAATAAACAGTATGTAAAAAGAATAAAATATATAACTAAAGTTTTGTAAAACAAACAAGTCATATAGTTTGTCAGTAACTCATTCTTTTAAATTTTTAATTGATTTTCTTTTCTTGTAAATTATAACATTGTAAATTTATTTATCTTATTATTGTTGATCTTTGCCTTTTCAAAGTTTTCTTTTGCTTTACTTTTGTTGTTTTTCTTAATTCAATTTTGTTCATTACACGTTGAGCAACACCCTTAAGCAGTCTTATGTCTCATTAACCTAACACCTCTAGACCTAGACTATGAAGTTCAAACATTTATTCAGAGGAAAATTCTTGAGTGATTTTATTGGGTTGGCTAAAAAGAGTTTTTGTTTCAACTTTTGAATTACTTATTTCATTTTTACAGTACACTCATTAGTCATTAAACACCAACATTATTTTATTTTACTAGCTATATATTAACTTTGCTTCTTAAGATTGGCACTCGCATATATAATATAAATATAAATATCATTTTATCTTTATGTATAGTTATCTGAGACATGTACGAACAAGAACAATAAAAAAATATATCTAAAAAAAGAATATTTTATCTATAAAACTGTCAAAATAGTTAGAAGATCAAAATAAAATATATAATCATTTTTACATGTTTTCTTTACAAATTACAGAGAAGTTTACTGGTAAGAATTTTAACAAAATTAACTGCTATAGATAAATATAAGGTTTATTGGTAAAGTATAAAAACAGTACATAACAATAAAAGGTAACATATAATAATAACTATAGCTGCCCTGTACAGCGGCCAACCTTCTCCATAATATTTTTGTCCAGAGCTGGGGCTACATCTTTCTTCCTGAAACAAACATTTTAATCTTGGTAAAGAAAGTCACAATTTTAAAATACTCAGGGGTGCCAAATTATGCGGGTTGGTGTAGTTGGTAGTTTCAAATAAAAAGGTCTTATTTTACAATAAATTACCATAGGTACCTTTAACTAAAAGTTTTTAACTGGTTTATTCCGCCTACAAACGTGCGACACAAACTCGATCTTTGAGGGGCTTTCATTGCTTGTTAAAGACACATGTTAACCTCTTGCCACATTACCAAGAGTTATTTTTCTTGCTAGAAGAATAACTCTTGTTAATGTGGCAAGAGGTAGATATCTTCCTGAGGAGGATCTAATTGGGAAGCTACAGGCTTTTATCGGATGCCTGAACTTGTAACTTCAAGAAAACAACTGTATGGGGTGTGCAATAATTTTATTTTTGGATGAAGTGCTTTATGGTCTTGGCCTGCCCCTGTTAACAGTTTTAACAGGATCAGCAACAGGTAAATTAAACCTTTTATATTTTGTCTAGGCCTATATTTCTCTGATCAAGTTAGTGCAAAGAAGTTTTTGTTGAATAATAGTTGTAAAGGCTTTAATTTCCTGAATTGAAATAAGTACCTGGGGACCGAGCCATGGCATAGTTTATTTTGATTTTAAAAGCAATATACAGGAATGGATGCTCTAAAAGAATTTGAAATTTATAAAACAATCAAAATTCAAGCTAACACATTATTAAACGACAAAATCAGTTTACAGTCTAACGCTCTGTATGATACTCTAATAAAAAAACAAGAACAGCTGATGAACAAGGAGCCGAGCTATACAAAGTCCACTGCCCAACCATCTTCCGCATCGCAGTCATGACCCTCATCTGCAACTGTGCGCACAAGGTTGGGGTTGGACATTGTAAGTTTTTGTCAGTAAGCCTACTCGTTTTGTTCATAAAACGTCTATGACTGTAAATAGTATATGTCCGTGTTTCGCATTTAAACTCTTGATGACCCTTTCGAAGTTACAGTGTTAAATGTTCTTGTACGAGATCTCATGATGAGGACTTAAGTCCTTAAAACCCGTAATCTATAAGGATTAAACAGGATCAATCTGGCAGTACTGAGGTAATTTTATACCTTTTATAGTTGGTTCATTGATCTTGAGACAAAACAACTCAAATATGAAAATGAATATTATGTTATTGATATATTTTAACGTAAACAGTAGGGCAATTACAATGTTGGTCATAATTGTTTTTATACAGTAGGCCAACATTTGGTGGCTTTTGTTCATAAATTCGGACTACTTAACAACTGTTTGGATTAGGCGGTATAGTTCATCTTCCCGTTGCGAAGCACGGGCACAGAAGCTAGTAAATTATTAAGTGATTTAATAAATAACTCTATATATAATATTTACAATAAACTATACCTTCAAAAACCTGGCTGTTTAACGGATGATATGGCAGACATACACTTTATCTCACTAGGTGCTCTTCCTTAAGTTCTTTTACGGAGTACAGCGGCCTATAATTAGTATTCCTTTCAGCGCCTTCTGAAGGAGGGTGCATCCATCTCCTAGAAAATGAGTAGGCAGTTATGAGTTGTAGTTAATAGTAGAACGAGGATAGCTATTCTAGGTACGTTTGAGACGACAGCAGGAAAAGTCTATATTTTGTGCTCTTCTGGTATAGTACTCCTGCACCCCAGTGGCGGGTCCAGAGGGGGGGGGGGGGCAGTCGCAGTTTGGAAATATATGTCATATATTTTTGACTGCATGTAATACAGTAGTGCGTAGAAATTGCGTAAAATAATTTGTCACACTAACTTAGGACAAAGAAATGGTATAAAACTGCCATTTTTGAAGACTTAGTTTAAACAAATTTTTGGGGAGGGAGGGGGTACCCCCAAACCTCTCAGACGCCCTGGTCCCCCCCCCCTTGTGACTGTTCTAGATCCACCACTGACTGCACGTATTTACATATTTATTTATTTATTTATTTATTTATTTATTTCCTCTCAACGGTTACACCATTTTACAGCGAATATATGGTATGTTACATGTTGTGTCTAATAAGCCACAAAATATTGAGCAACAGTAACTATTCCAGTAATAAATATACAATAAATAACAAATAATATAACAATAACAAAAGCATAAAGAGATTTAAACACATTAACAATAATAGTATCAACAATTTTGACTAGATCAAGTAAGTGTAAGTGATTGATGTTACAAACATGGCTGATATTGACAAATAAAACAATGAAGAAATGAAAAGAATTAAATTGTAGGACACTCGATTATGTATGAAGCCTGACTACATTGAGAAACAAAAAACAGTTGATGACACAGAGATACAAAACAACAGCAAAACAACAACAACAACAGGGAGATAATAAAATTTGAAGTTATGTAACTAGTGACTAGATGGAAGACAAGAATATTTAGATAAGGAGCTGGATGACCTTCGATCTGAAGACGTGTGTTGAGACGCCAAAAATGTCGACATCAGCTCCAACTTCGCTCCCTAGCCGGTGTAGGCGAGATATCCCACTGTTGTAAGCATAATATGTTGGGAAGAACTAATATGCACGTCATCTTTTCTAGGGTCAGGATATCAAGCACTACGCCGTGAGTACCCTTAAGCTACATTTCCATTCCTACAAGTCGCAGGCACAAGTCGAGGCACATGTCGAGACCATGACGAGGCACATGTCGCATGTAGTTTGTCATGCCGTTTCCATTCCAGGCACAAGTCCCGCGATTACAACTGGCAGACAAGGCAGTGTTCTCTTTTATTGTGATGTGGTGAGGTTCGGTGGCTGATTTTGATTATATTGTGTTCTACAAATCACCATGGATGACATAACAGCCTCTGCCTTTTTTATTTATGACTGGTGCATACAATGAACTTAGAAGAAAACTACCTAGATAGTGGATAAGAAGTTTTTTGGATAAAAGAGCATTGGAAGGTGCATTTAATCAATTGATGAGAGATTTGTGCGTACAAAGTGGCTTTGAAAATTTCCTCCAACGGACTCAACGAAATTTGAGGTTATGATTACCTGTCATTTATGAGCATGCGGTAGTTTGGAGGACCTGCGCATGCGCGAGTTGCAGGCACATGTGCCCGCGGCTCGGGCACATGTTTTGTCGCGCAGTCGGCGGGCACAAATTTGTGCCGCGACTTGAGCCAGGATGTTTCCATTCCTACAAATTTGGAGATTTGTGCCGGCACAAATTTGCAGGAATGGAAACGTAGCTTAAGATCCTTTAAGATTGGCCGGCAATGATCCAAATGCCACACAACTGTAATAATCCTAAAGGTTCTGGACAGCATCGTTGTATCATCTGCAAATAATAATGTTTTCCCATTCAGATTAAGGCAGGATTTTGTATAGGTTAGGCCTAATACCCTTAACCTCATTGACGGGTAGGGCAGTCAAAATCGAAGCAAAAATTAAAAGCCGAGTAGGCTAAGTTTATGGGAAGATTTCATTAGCTTAGTGTAGCCTAATGTTTTTAATATCATAAAATAAAAATGTCTTAAAATATTATTAGACTAGCCTAGGCTATTCATGGGGTTACAGCTCTTTTGCTTGATGCATTGAAATGGATTTGATGAAGTAGAACTACATATTACAACAAGTACTATTACCCCTGATCTATTTAACTGCACAACTATACTTATTATTTATTTTAACGTCTGTGATAGAGCCTATATTTGATAGGCTATGCATAAAAAATGTGACTGTGATAATAGGCCTATATCGCTATTGATCAAGTAGCCTATATACCTGAAGTGAGTTAATGTGTCTCAGACGAAGTCTATAGTAATCAGTGATTATTCAACGACCAATAAAATGGGCCTACTTAATTACTTGATGTCTTTAAGATGGCTAAGTTATTTTGTTAGTAGTATATCAACTAAGTTTAGACTAACCTACAAGGTTTATTATCACACATAAAAATGTTTTGATGGCCGTTGCCCTGG